GTGTCCGATGTCTTGACATCACCTTCCATCGCATGCGTGTGCCATGCGTTTCGACCGCGGGGTTGGTGTGCCGGGCCGCCCTGCAGATGGGAGGAATTGACCACACGCAACCTGCAGGGCTGAGAAGTGACGCAACTTGCGGTGATCCCAGCAATTCTAGCACTCACGAATCCGTATCTTCAGTCGGCGGCGAGCCTAGCCATTGCACCGCCTTGTGCCGTTCACCACTACAACCCCATCGTCTGGAGAGTTGGTGTTGACATCGGTTCTCGATCGCACCCGAGACGGATCCGGCCAAAATTGCGGGTACGGAGTACGGATACCTCCGGCGTTATGATGAGGCATCGGGCACAAGGAAACGTGGAAATTTTTGCTGGCCTGGAGACCCTTGAGGTGGGGTCCTCGGTCGGCAAGAGCCCGAGCTTGGCGGCCTGGTCGCTCGGTCGAAGATGGAGATCCGAGGGCGATAACGCCGTACCTCCGGCTTGGCCCGTAGGTAGTGTCGTAGAACGGCGGCCATCCGACGGAGACACGCATTGGCAACTGGGCAGGACGACGGCGAGATGGGACGGTGCAGCAGTGCAGAAAGAATTAATCTCAATGTCGACGATCAGCTGCGGCTTGAGAGTCATGCATTTCCAGTTCCCATGTGTTTGTCCCCGCAAAAACTTCGGCTCTGTTCTGGCCGCCGCGGGAAAGTTGACCAAAAATTGTTACTGAAAATTTTACCCCACATTAGCAGACCTCACACTCACCACGGCAGCGCAGCTCAGTACCGAACAACTGAATTCACGAAACGCCCTTGAGCTTCATTCAACCAAAATATTTAGAGAACCAAGGCGTAAGATCGTCTCACAACAAACATGGGGGTTTTCGCAAAGCGCACCAGGACCAAAACCCGTCGGAAGACTCGGTGAGTCCCGATGCACAGACCATATCAGATTTTGGAAAAACTCTAGACTGACCTCCCGTTCCAGCGACGCCGACCAAATCAAGGCCGACCTCCTGTCTCCCAGGCACCTGGAGATATTCATAGAGACCAAAGCCCCCGAGGATCTGCCCGGCCTAGGCCGCCATTACTGCATCGAATGCGCCAAATGGTTCGAGACCGACACGAGTCTGGTCGGCCACAGAAAGAGCAAACCTCACAAGAGGATGTCAGTTTTGTTGCCCTGCTCTTATTTCTTGCGCCGTTGCTGACAGAGACATGCAGGCTCAAGCAGCTGCGCGAAGGTCCTTACACGCACGAGGAGGCGGCTGCTGCTGTGGGCTACAGGACAGACAACGGGCCGGTGAAGACCAAGTCTCAGGAGATCGAGATGTCATGAGCAGCCAGTCTTGTAATAATACGGCCGTTTACTATAGAAAAGGACGTACCTCTCGTTAGGTTAGCCGGAGAGGGACTCAGCATGGCAAAGGCGTTTGGGCGATGGGTATAGTACAAGTGGGTGGCGTCAGGGGCCGAAAAAGGCAAGGACTGCTGTTTTATATCGTGTTCTACAAGCATACGTGTCGGAATTCCAGAGACATACAAACGGCGGGCAACACGTCCTCCCCGGCGAGACAACAGCAACTTAGCGCTGTGATTGATTTTAGGGAATTCGATACATACATAGCCCCACAGGTAGGACGTGAATAAGAGATGGATAGAAGCATAGCTGTCTATTCGGTACTTAAATATTTAGAACTCGAGTGGGCCCGGTCCCTGCCCCACTCGGCTTCCGCCACATCCCTGCCGTCGTGGATCAAACGGCGAAATTGTTAGTGCTCTTGCTATCGTAGTCGTCGTTCGCCATCGACACGCGATGAACTCTCCATGGTTCTTGCAACCTGGTTCTCGCGCATCTCAAACTTGGCACGACAAGTCATGGGGTCAACAGCGTACGCGGCATACAACAATGGCGCTGCCAATGCCGGCAGCGCGCACACAGTGACGGCGATGGGCAGGTGGTCCGTCCTCAACAAGCAGCTCCCGCCCGCCGACCAGATCAAGGCGATCCACGTCTACGACTTTGACAATACGCGTAGCCACCCCTCTCTTGCTGGGTAGTCCCATCCTTTGCCGCCGCTACTAACCTTTTTGCGCACGCGTCTACAGTATTCAAAACCCCGCTGCCAAATCCCAAGCTGTGGAACGGACCGACGATAGGAACCTTGTCGAACCCCGATGCCTTCGTCAACGGTGGGTGGTGGCACGACTCGCGCATTCTCGCTGCGACCGGTGATGGACTCGCCAAGGAAGAGCCGCGTGCATGGAACAATTGGTGGAACGACAAGATTGTCGAGCTCATCCACCTCAGTAACAAGCAAAAGGATGCGCTCTGCGTCCTCCTCACTGGCCGCTCCGAGTCGGGCTTTGCCGAGCTGATCAAGCGCATGGTGGCCAGCAAGGGCCTCGAGTTCGACCTAGTCACCCTGAAGCCGGCCGTCGGTCCCAACAACGAGCGCTTTGCCAACACCATGGTCTTCAAGCAGGTGTTCCTCGACGCTCTGATGGAGACATACAAGCATGCCGACGAGATCCGCATCTACGAGGATCGGATAAAGCACGTCAAGGGCTTCCGCGACTTTTTGGAGGGTTATAACTACAAGAAGCTAAACGGGGTAGAAAGCCCGGTCACTCGGGGGCCCATCAAGGGCGAGGTCATCCACGTGCTCGACATGGCTACCTACCTCGACCCCATCGTCGAAGTGGCCGAGGTGCAGCAAATCATTACCGACCACAACGCCGCCCTGTCAAAACAACGACGTGGCGTTAGAGGCGAGCGCCTCGCCATCAGAAAGACCATCTTCTACACAGGCTACATGATCAGCAACGCTGACACACAACGGTTACTCACGCTCGCGCAGCTCCCGAAAAACGTGCCCGAAGGCGACCTCAAGTTCCACGCGAACAACATCATGATCTGCCCACGGCCCTGCCCCCCCGCCATCCTGGAGAAAATCGGCGGCATCGGGAACAAGATGACGTGGGAAGTCACGGGCACAGCCTGCTACGAGAACACCATCTGGGCCGTGTGCGTCAAGCCGATGCCGGCCACGGCCAAGTTCCACACGGGCGACACGGTCCCTCTTGTCGTGCTGGCGCTGCGCAAAGGCGCCCGCCACGTGGACGCAGGTAAGATCCAGCACTGGTCGCCCGTGCCGCCAAACAAGGCCTTCCAGTTCGAGACCACGGTCAGCGAGAAGATCATGCTGCGTATCGAGGGCGAGAACCAGGCCCACGAATCCCCCTTCCACCACGGCGGTGGCAAGGCGCTCAACAAGCGCAAGCACACCGCTGCGCAGGACGACTTCCGCGCGAGGCCGTCTGCCGGTGGGCAACAGCAGCAGCATCGGCAGTTCCATAACCAAGGGAACTTTGCCGGGGGTAGTGGTGGTGGTGGTGGCGGACGTGGTGGTGGGGGTGCCGGCGGTAGAGGCGGGAGAGGTGGTGCCAACAACCGCGGGTTCAGGGGCCAGCGCGGCGGCGGCGGCGGCGCGGGCAAAGGCCGCGGTGGCCGCGGTGGTCATGGCGGCGGCGGCGGCGGCGGCGGGCACCACTACAAGTCGCTTGACGACGTGGGCGGGCGTGACAACCAGGGCGGGTTCGCCCAGATGTATGAGGACGAACCGCAACAGCAGCAGCAAAAGGGTGGTCAGATGCAGAATATCCCCAAGGGACCCTCGAATCCGGGGAATCCGGGGTTTTATGGCCACGGTGGCCAGCAGCAGCCGCAGCAACAACAGTTTGGACGGCCCGGGAATGGTTATTCCGCCCCTGGTGCTGGCGGGGCTGGGCCGGAGCTGAATAATTATTATTGATGACCTCGACTTAGATGTCGTTGGGTCTTGGTCTGGCTGGCATGTTGCTTGCTATCACATTAGCATACATACCCCTCCCTTGCTGCGGTTTGCTGGGCTTGTTCGGCCGAGGATTTGGAAGGGGAGCGTGCCTGGAGCTCACAGGCACTGTGGGATGAAATCTTCTCTTTGTGGGTTTAAGTTATGGAGGAGTTACCTATGGGGAGGGATATTGGAGTTGTTAGGGAGGGGAAAACTTGCATCGGGTTTTGTGTGCTGGGGGCTATCTTCTGGTAGTGCTATCTTCGTGGGTTCTTATTTCTGGGAGTGTGTAGCGAGCTCTCGTGGTAGTATCATGTTGCTGTGGTTATGTTGTGCTAGTACCTACGTGCATACCGTGCAGCCATGACACAAGTACACACACATAGTACTGTGTAGCGAGACTTTGTCATGTTCCAGCCTGCTCTGGCCCTCAGCGTGGCCCTCAGCGCATCATCCATCCTGGCTAGGCCTTGACTTTGATGACTAGGGTTATACAACCTTATGTGTCCTTCCTACCCTTCAGGGCTGGGTGGTGGGATAGAGGGCGTCGGTGGCATCTCACCGTTCAACCTTCTTTACTCAACCGCCTCGCACTAGACATTAACTTACTTGGGCCCTGACCCCGTCCGTTTTGCATGGACGGCTCAGAGTGCCCTCCTCAACTACGGATGCTAGTAAACGGCTAGCTTTAGCCATCACTCTTTGAGTCCTCTCCCCTTGCCGGCCACTCGCGGGTCAATCTCATTCACCTATAGATCAATAATACCCACAGTGAAGCCGGGAGCTGACTGAGCATGGGCAGGCCTGGTGTCAAAATAGATGGGACTTATAGTACTCTTCTCTTCTCTCCTATATGAGACTACAGTAAGAAATTAAGAATCGAGATATACTTGGGTAGCCCGAGACTTGACAAATAATAGATCCGTTCAGAGAGAGATATACTTTGTCATAGTGATTTATTAAACAACTACCGTGTTCTATTCGACGCAGCCCCCTTTTAGGTTTGGAGCGTTGCTTACCCAAGACTACAACCCCCCATCACCGGTGCAACACACTTGATGGTGTGCACCCCCTGAGCAATGACTTATCTACTTACTCTCAACCAGTGATAAACCATTGCAGCAACAGCGGGGAAAGCAAGCAAAAAGACAAGACTAAGAAGAAAAAAAGAACATCGACAACTACAAGATTCGAACTTGTGAGGGCGAACCCAACAGATACCGTAAATGCTAGAAATTCAAGTCTGTCGCCTTAACCACTCGGCCAAGTTGTCTGATTACGTGATTGCGGAGGGGTAGTCGAGAATCGTGACTCATGAGTTGCCGACTGTGGTGCGCCGTTGTGGTTCGCTGTGAGTTCTTTGGACCGACCGGAATTTGAAAGGATTGTGGCGGCGAGGGAGGAGGACGTTGAGGCGGTGTTGTGGCGGTGCTGGTTTTGAGTGGTCGTCTGTCTGCCTTGAGAAGAACTCGGGTTTCAGGCAGGTGTTTAATTCTTGATGAACCGCCTTGGATTGTGTGGTTTCAGGTGCCCTTTTTGAAAAGGCTAGCGGATACTTGAGGATAATCCATACCGCCAAATGTCCCGTTGTTCCTCCGCTTTATTTTAACATGGCCTGCCTGCCAGCGGTTTATGGACCTGCACGCCGGCAACGAAGTGATCCATCCAACCTTTAGGGCTTGCCAGCAGGACGAGCTGCCGACGTGACAATCCTCTTCTGCTCCTCGGGAGTGAACATTGCAGTGCCCTGCTGCAAGGCGCTCACGAGGATCTGGAGGGCATCGTTCTTGAAGTCGTCGGCGGCGCGCACCTTGTCGAGGTCCTCGGCAAACTCTGTCGTGGCGCGCTGGAGGTAGTAAGCGGTGAATGCGGCGGTGACTTCTTGGTCGGGCTTTTGCGGCGGAGCCATGTTGATCGCCTAGTTGGACAAGGTATGATGAAAATGTGGTGGATTCCTGAAATTCTTTCTGTCTTTTTTTTATGTTGAATGTGTCTGGATTTGAGTTGTGAGGGTTCAGCGTTTGAAGGCTTGATTCAAGACCCACATGGGCTTTCCACTGTTTCCAGGTTGTGCATTGTGAGTGGGTCACTTCTCTTCCTCCACTTCCATGCCGGTTCTCAACCCTTTGGCTCAAACGTAGCAGGGGATCTAACGGAGGAAGTTGCGGTTTGGCAACTGTTGCAGGGAGGTAACGTTATTGGTCGAGCAACCGTTGCCCTACGGTTGATAGAGACTTACGGTTGTTTGACCAGCAACGGTTATTTCTCTGTAGCTGCAGGCCCAGATACGGCCAATCAATGGCACTTAACACCAACACCCTGCAGGTACCCCTGCCACGCGTACCGGTGGCCAACGCCAGCGAAAAAAGAGGTGCGTACCAGCTGCCCGGTGTATTCAGTACCGTATTCAGTTTCCTACGGTCGCAATTGAAAGCCGGGCTTCAAAGTGTAGGCAGGGCTATTTGCAAGCGATACGGCGTGTTAAATGAAAAGAGTCGAGGTTGTTAGCGTTGAACGCCGACCTCTTTAATCTTCAAGTTCGTCGCAATTGCGATCACTTGACCGCTCGACCACTTGGTCAGTTGCGAAATAATTGTTAATGGAGTTCCGAATTGCGAATGATCATGGCATCGCGATGAAGTCGAGGAAGGTGGGCATCTTGGGAAGGAAGGGAGGTCTTCGGAGTCTTTGCCCACTGTGTGGGGTAGGGAAACAACGGTTGCTCGCTCAACAACCGTAGTCTGGAACCAACCGTTCGCCAACGGTCGTCTTACGGTAGGGAGGAAAGAACGGTTGGCCAACCGTAGACTCTCCCCCATACACTCCCTGATACGAACCTTGAGATGACCCGTTCATCAAACGGTTGCTCTTGCACGATGTGCGACTCAGGATGACGAGGTCAACTTGAACTCGACATGGGTTTGGACTTGTGTGTCCATAGTTACAACGAGAGCCCTCACTCCAACGATCCCAATTTGGCAGCAAAGTAAGCCGGACAATCGATGGCCCGCCGAGGCGACGACTGTGTAACTTCCCGACGACGCCCAAAAACGGAATGGTGCAAAGTGCGCCAGGTACGAGCAGTACGATGGCTCAATGAGCATGACGCCCAGGTTGACATCACCGGCTCGCCCGTGCTCTCAGCCTTAGCGAAGGCAGTGTTCTCAACCTTCTTCACACACGCGGGCATTGATTGGCTAAATGGAATCATCCCAGGCCATCCACGTTGCCAGTGACCGTGCATCGTATTGAACGGAGCAATGCGATTAGCCAATGCCGGTCGGGTGGGTCACACGGGGCGCATGTTGCGCCTCAGGGAGAGAGATTGATCGCGAAATACGATCGAGGGCGAGGCTCTGGAGAAGGCGGTTATAAGTTTGACATGTCTGCTTGAAGATGGGACGCATTACAGAGATGGCCAAGTTGTGTTTCTAAGCTAATGCACTCGACACGTCCGGCACCCTTGTACTTACATACCTCTTGAGTCTTGAGTCTTGAGTTACTCGATTAGACACCGCTTACACGGTACATACACCAACCACTCAGGAGTCAGGACTCGAGTCCTCCCAACCCCGAAATGGAGACGGGAGAACTTGGTATGAAACCCCGACGCCCCATTGTCCAAAACAAGCAAACTGTTTAACTGACACCGGCTCAGTCCCGGGAAGCGTATACTTCTACGCCCCCAACAAGGGCGCTCCAGTATTTTTCGCCGCGGCCTTTGCACTGTCCGGGTGCTACCACCTTTACCAATGCATGTATGTGGTGACACCGAGCCCCGGTTATACTCCACGAAGAGACACTGACGCAGACTACCTAGCCACTACAAGAGCTGGCGCCTGACCGGCCTCTACGTCTTCTGCGCCGTCCTCTTCACCGGGGGCTTCATTGCCCGCGAGCTGGGCGCCTTTGACTACAAGGACTTGATCAAGTTCATCGTCAGCCAGGTACTGATCTACTCGGCGCCGTACGTAACCTACCTCCCTCCCCCCCACTAATACCCCCTACCTACTCTTTTAAACTAACTCTCTTTTTTTTTCCTGGTGTAATAGACCCCTCCTCGAGCTAGCAAACTACAACATCCTCGGCCGCATCCTCTACTACGCCCCCTACCATTCCCCAATCCACCCCGGCCGGGTAATCACCACCTTCGCCTGCATCTCCTTCATCATCGAGGCCCTCAACGGCAACGGCGTCGCCTACAGCGCCAACCAGTCCCTGCCCGCCAGCCAGCAAGAAACCGGCCGATCGCTGCTCAAAGCCGCCCTGATGATGCAGCTCGGCGTGCTGGCCCTCTTCCTCCTCCTCGCCGCCACCTTCCACCGGCGGTGCGCGCGCGCGGGCTTGCACAACCAAAATCTAACGGCCGCGCTGCGCACGCTGTACGCGTCGACGGCGCTGCTGAGCGTGCGCACCGTCTACCGCGTGGTCGAGTACTGGAGCATAATAGTCGCGCAGCACGACGATTTCTGGCGGCCGGGCGGGGGGGTCGACGTCAACGCGCTTAGTCCCGCGCTGCGGTACGAGTGGTTCTTTTATGTGCTCGAGGCCAGCTTGATGCTGGCTAATACCGTGCTGATGAATGTGCGCCATCCGAGGAAGTATCTTCCCAAAAGTGCCAAGACGTATTTGGCGGTGGAGGATGGGGTGACCGAGGTGTTGGGTCCGGGGTATAAGGATGGGAGGCCGTTTTTGGTGACGGTGTTGGATCCGTTTGATTTGTGGGGGTTGGTCAAGGGGAGGGATGATGATAAGGAGGCGCGCTTTTGGGAGAAGGGCGCTGCTGCTGGGAGGGGGGATGTTGGGGCTCAGGTTTGAGTCGGGAGGGGGGGTATTTGGTTGGTATTTTAAACGGTGGGCGGGCAGGCGGCAAGATAGCAAAATTAGTTTATGTCTTGGGGGAGTTTGGTGTACCGTTGCTCTTTTGTTTTGGTATATACCTAGGTGATAGAAGATATCGTCATCCACGAATGGACTTGATTCGAGAGGGTGTTAATTATACAAGTACACTAAGAGTGGTATTGCATTCGTCGTTTCCAAGATGGGATCGGTCTGCCTGCCCACTAATGATCCTTCTGGGGATCTGGTGCCTGACACGCAAGCGATGGAAGGCCAAAAGAAGAAAACAAAGCTTCCGAAGCTAAAATGTTTTGCGGGTTGGGGATTGATCCGCAGTCGTGGCTTATACACAATCCCTGACCTGACCCAAAAGCGTGGCTGGAGCCTGGGGGAACTTTCAAACCTTTTTGTCTTTTGGCCCCCAAATTTGAAGGATTTTGGCAGGATGCTGCTCGGCTGCGTGGCCACCATCGACAGACCTGTTGGAACTTTGTGCTATTGTCGCTTGTTCAAGGCTCGAATTGTCAGATTTAACAAAAGATATCTTCCTTCTGGCCAGTCGCCATCGCGGCCGCCCTTTTCGACGCTCGCCCAAGCCGTGGCTAGCGGTCCTCGGCCCATCTTGGCTACCCCAGCTATCGTCTCAGGATTGTCGATGGGTTGTGGTATGGACAGGCGTTCAAAACCTGCCGGGTCTAGTTGTGCCAAGGCGTCTCTGGTTATTATAAGGGGGTGGTGTGTTTGTGGCCAACCCGTTTCGGCCGGCCGTTGAGGCGGCTGCTGTTTATATCTCGACTCTCTCTTGCATGATGAGTATGATGAACTGAAATCAAATGGGAGTACTTATACATTGAGATGTCCGGGTCGTGAAAAGAGTGCAGAACACACAACACACAACTCGAATTCAGAATTTCACCACGATCAAATCAAACCAAGCATGTGCGCTGTGCCAAGGACGAGTCGATTGTTCGGTCCTGTAAGTGATTAATACCCCAAGGAGACGAACAGACAGAGTCGAGGGTATTGTATCTGACTGGCTGCAACATAGTTGGTATATGTCCCACCACACACGTCAGAGTGCTCAAGTGTGACGAGGGCTGGATTGACGATAAATTATGTACGATACGTGTCTTTTTTCTCTAGTCTTTTGAAAAAAACCCGGGAAAAAAAGAAGAAGAAAAGATGCAGTGCCGCAGGTTCTGGGACTTGTCCACGAGGAGTGTTTAGACTTTAGAGAACAAATAAATTGGACTATGATTTTGAATACTCGATGCGCTGTCTTCATACACAGTAGACCTTCTTTCAATTTCAGCGGACATAAAATGCGGGCGGGATTCGTTGAGAGTGTGAGGCTTCGAGATGACTTCAAGTTTCGGAGATCAGATTATCCGTAGGTACTCAACAGGGTAATCACCCACTTTCCGACCCACTTAG